AGCCAAGACCATCTTGAGTTATTTTTTAATTTCATTCGAAGTGTAGGTTAGAAAATGTTCAAAAGTGGTTATTTAACAAAAATGACTTCAATTTTATATATTTATTTATGTATTTAGGGAGAAGCAATGATAATCCAAATGTCTGGCAACTGGAATCTATATTCAAAAAAGTGTACTGTAGATATGATATTGTCCCTGGAAAAACAGGTTATTCAAATATGTTCTATTTATACAGTTGCTTTAAATGAGGCTATACATATGATGTTTTATAATTTATAAGGGAATGTACCGGAACAAATGATAGTTGAATCAGAATTTAAAATTCCAGAGGATCAGTTTCAAGATATTTATGAAAGGACATATTTTAGATCCACAAAGCATTGTTGAAATATGTTGAAATAATATATATGTATATTATATATGTTTCAATATATTTATGACTTTCCATAGTTTCAGACAATCTTATATTAATTGCTAACTTGACTAACTTGCACGTGTATGCTTTTCGCTTTTTGTCGACTAACGTGTCTTCTAATATTTCAATTAACGCTTCTTTAATAAACAATTATATTAAAAACAAACAAAGAAGTTTTTTATCTTAAACAGGTTATGAGCCCAGAACGCTTAATAAATTGCTTAGAGAAAAAGTTATTTCGAAAAAAAGAAAGAGATTGCAATTTGTGACTAAAAGAACTTTTCCAACTATCGTTGAAGCAAGAACATCAATTTTTTTTTCCTTCAAAATGGACTCAAAGCTTCAAATAAAACAGTTAAGTTGCGCAGCCAATTGGCCCATTTGGAAACGTCGTGTTCGAAATTTCATGGACTACCATGAGGGCGCACTTGATGTGATTGATGGGAAGTTGTCGAAATCAGAATTACTAGAAAATCAAACAGAGCAACAGACAAAAGATTTTAAAAATAAATCAGGTCTGTTTAGAAAGGCAAACAGTTATGCCAAATCAGTAATTGCGAATGCAGTCACAGAAGATACATACCAAAAGATAATGGACAAGAACACAGCGTTTGAAGTTTGGGAGGAATTAAAAAGAAATTTTGAAATATTAATTCAGATTATTCAAAAAATACGATTTTACAACAGGTCAAAATGATAGGAACGATTTTATTTTTAAGTTTAAAGCAGTAGTTTTAAAATAGTATGAACATTAGATCTCACCAAACGTTGTTTTGTTTTCATTAAGCGCGTTTTAGACTGATTTGAAATTTGTTAAAATTGTTTTTCATTATGGGCAAAGGGAAAAAGCTAAACAAAAACCAAACAATTCAAATTTAGACATTAAGATCCAAAAAATTCTGGGAAAAATTTCAAAATCATTAAACGTTTCTAAAACAGTTGTTTTTAATTTTTTAAAAAATCCATTGACTTATGGAACCAAAAAAAAGTACTGGCAGGCCACAAAAACTAACAAGAAGAACAAAGGCACTTCTAATTCGAAAAGCCTGTGAGGGTACAAGCAGTTCTCTTGAGTTGCTAAATGACTTACAATTAAACTGTAGTATCAGTACTGTAAAAAGATGTCTAAAGAAATGCAATTATTTGAAATTTGAGAAAAAAATCAAATCATTGCCACTGACAAAATTTCATAAAGAGCAACGATTGCAGTGGGCAAAAGATCATGTTACCTGGGATGGCAAATGGAAATTTGTCATCTTCTCTGATGAAAAAAAATTCAATCTTGATGGTCCAGATGGCAACAAATTCTATTGGCATGATGAGAAAAAAAGATTTATTAAGAGTCAACAAGGTGGAGGGTCAGTCATGGTTTATGGTGCTTTTTCATTCAAAGGAAAAAGCAAACTGTCAATTCTTCAAGGACACCAAAATTCTCAGGCATATATAAATGTTCTTTCACAATGTATGATGCCTTTTGCACAGTCAAAACATGGAAAAAAATTTATATATCAACATGATAATGTCCCAATTTATACATCCAAAGCCACTAAAGAATTCCTAGAGACCCATAAAATTGATGTTTTACCATGGCCAGCATTATCACCTGATCTCAATCCAATTGAAAACTTGTTTATTTAGACAAGTTTATGCCAATGGAAGACAATTTAAAAATCTAACAGGTGAAAAGCCTTAATTACAGTAACTTAAGTATTTTATTGGTGCTATTTGTGTCACTTGCGGAACTACTTCTCTTCGAGCGGTGAGCCACATCGTTATAGTTCCGTGGAGCCAAACCTAGTCATCAACCCAAGCCCGCACTATGGCTGCTGCAGTTCCGTTCTTGCGGGGTG